TGAAATACTTTATGAAATGTTAATTATTATTATTTTAATTTCTTTATTTTTTTTTTAGATTTGATCTTTATTATTTTGATTATTATTTATTTTATTTGAGATAATTTAAGAATTTTTTTTTTCAATTTCATTATTATTCAATCTTTTAATTTGTAAGATTTATTCCTCATTATTTTAATAAACTTGAAAAAAATAAAATATTAATAAATTATTTTCCATAATATAACTAAACACTGAAAAATATTTTCTATTTCATTTTCTATAGTATTACCAAACATCGAAAAATAATTTATTTTTAAAAAATTATTTTTTCTTCAAATTTTTTTTTTTTAAAAAATAATTTTTCTACAAACCTTCAAATTTACTTTTTTTTAAAAAATAATTTTTCTACAAATAATCAGAAACTAAAAGAGCTAAAATACTCCATAACGGGTACCTTTGTTAAATTTTTTCAAATGATGAAAAGGAATTTTAATACATTTCTAATAAACTAAAATAAACTTTCTTAAAAACAATGGGTGGTGATGGTAATTCAGCGGAACCTAGCATTCACATCATCAATCATGAGATATTTTTAGTCAAATATAAATAGATAAGGCACATGTAAACGAAAAAAAAAATAAATTAAATTAAAAATTAAAAGTCACCACTAACTTAAGTTGAAAGCCACAAAGAGGATTCTCTCGAATGTTCCACGTGTCGATCTCTCAACCATGAGATCTCAAATTGTGATTCACTAGGCCAACGTGGTAACCCCACTGAGAAAATCCAATTCCAACAATCCCATGAATACGCAACACGTGTTCAGTCATGGACCCCACCAGATACCATCATAAGTGTACCGTCCCTACCAGAAAAATAAAAAACAGTGGCCCATATTATGACACGTCAGCTAGACCAACCACAAGCCAACGGCAGCCTCCCTTTTGATTGACCCTCAGATCTCCTCAATCAAAAACCTAAACCAAAACACACAAAAGCTACGAAATAAAAGGAAAAGAAAATCCTCCGGGTGAAGAAGATATTTTTTGCGGTTTTCGCGGCTGTGAGTGAAAGTTGGAAATCTATAGGCGGTTTTTACTACCTCGTTTAGGATGAGGTTAATTTCGTTTTAGCACACTCTCTCCTCTCTTTTCCTTTCTGCTACTACTACGACTACGGACTGCTGTTTTCATTTTGAATTTTTTGCAGAAATTAGGGTTTGTTTGTTGCGTTGATTTTTAAGTTCAGATTTTGTTTTCTCTGCGAGTAATAGCGTGTTTGAGAATGGGTGAGGTGGTGGTGAGTAGCAGCAGTGAACAGTTGGAGGGGATGGCGGTGGAGTTAGAGACAGAGAAGAAGGATATTGGATCATCGGAGGTGGTTCGATGGGAAAAGTTTCTGCCAAGGATGGTGCTCAGCGTTCTTTTGGTTGAAGCTGATGATTCTACTCGTCAGATTATTGCTGCTCTTCTCCGAAAATGCAGTTACAGAGGTGGTTGATTTCCTCATTTTTTCCCTCTTCGTTGACTTTAGTTGTGTCATTTTTTATTTTTTCTTTAACCCGGATTCAATTCTCATTTCTTTTTTCTTCTTGATCATCTTATTTTTGTTAAGTAGACTACAAGTTGATTTTTTTGGTTATATAAATTTGTCAATCTCTCGTGGCTGCACTATCATCTGGACTTGTTTTTGCTGATTTTTATGGTTGATCCTTTTAAAAAAAGAAAAAGAATTTGCGTTTCTGTTCTGTGAGAGAGTTGGAATCCGTGTCTTAAATATATCAATTACACATCTACGCATCGTTCTTTGTTGAATAAGTCAGCATTACGGTTTTTGCTGCTCTTGAGGGAAAAATATATGTCATGCTCTGTAATCTGAATGGATATATCTATTCTGAGTTTCTGGACGCATTACTGTTTTTGCTCTGTAACTTGTTGATTAACCTTTGCCGCTTCCTCTGTTACCTATACGATGTAATTGGGCATTATTCTTAATCTGCGAGTATTATTTGAAACTCACAAAAAAAAAAATATTATAAGTTCAATTTTTTGTATCACTTACTTCGACTGAAAATGTACGCTTTCTTTTCTTCTCTCTGAGTAGTTGCTGCTGTTCCTGATGGATTAATGGCATGGGAGACTTTGAAGGGTGAACCTCATAACATAGATCTCATATTAACTGAGGTGGAGCTGCCTTTAATATCAGGATATGCACTTCTTACTTTGGTCACGGAGCATGCTGTTTGCAAAAACATTCCTGTCATAAGTATGTCAAAATCATGTTTTTGTTAACTTTACTACCTTGATTTTTTGTTTGACGAAGTGCTTAACATGTTAGGATTTCTTTGCATCGTAAACATACAGTGATGTCTTCACAAGATTCAATTAGCATGGTTCTGAAGTGCATGTTAAAAGGAGCAGCTGACTTTCTCGTTAAGCCTGTTCGGAAGAATGAATTGAGGAACTTGTGGCAGCATGTTTGGAGGAGGCAAACTGTATGTTTTACCTTCAAGCTCATCCTTTTCATTCTCTTGGTTTGTTTTGGTCATTTTGGTTCAAGAGCATACTACTAATGGAAGTCTTTTAATTTAATTCTTTATCAGCTAAGTGCTGGACAAATCCCTCAAAACTTGCATAAAGTGGAGGCCTCATCTGAAAACAACGCTGCAAGCAGTGGTTCGAGTGACCCTGTGATATCTTCGCAGAAAAATAAGGATTGCAGCGAGAAAGGGCGTGATGCCCAAGTGAGTATTAGATCACTTTGATGTCATTCTTGTAGGGCTATAAAAACTGTGCCTTTGAATTTATTCTTGTGATGTGCTGTCTGCCAATTTCCCAAATGTATTTCCAAATAATCTGGTGAGAATTGATTATCCTCTTTGTTCCCCAATTCTTTTGGTTCATCAGTTGCACAATCCTTGTAAAGCAGTAAGATACAGGTATATGCAGGATCCATGAAAAAAATCATGCAGGCCACTTGTAGAGTGAGGAAAATTTCTCTTTCTAGATTAGGCTGGCTTCATGAAATATCACGTAGAAATTGGATGTTTTGACACCTCCTGTGCAGAGCTCTTGTACGACCCCTTGCTTGGAAGCTGAGAGTGCTCACATGCAAATTATGCAGGGACTTTCACAGATGAAGTATAGGAGTGCTTCAAATCTGAGCAACACGGATAGAGAGGAGTTCGAAGAGTGTGCCAAATTAGATAAAAGCCCTGTAACTCCTGAGAACAAGACTGGAGGTATGTCTCACGTTTCTGTTGCAATGTTTTACCTATCGTTTATTACAACTGCTTGAAAACTGTGCTCTCTTTGCTCAATAATACTTAACAAATGGACGTCTGACACAGTATTTGTACCAGAAAGGTCGAACCAAATGGAGTCAGACGGAGAACTGTGCAGTGGAGCTTATAATCCAACTTCTTTGAGACTGCTAGAAGAGCATGCTTGTGCCAAGTCAGTGATTCAAGATGAAAATTCGAGACCAGAAAATGACGGGGGGCTTGCTAATAGCTCCTTTGGCTGTGATGATGTTCCTTTTGAATCCTCAAGTGGAGCCATTGACTTGATTGGTACCTTAAATAATGGTCCAAAGGCCACTTATGTACACTCTAGTTTACATTATGGCACAAACAAGTTCGAATTTGCTCCACAACTTGAACTCTCTCTCAAAAGATTGTATCCCAGGAGCTCAAAGAACCAGGGGGTAGATGAAAGACATGCACTGAACCATTCCCATGCCTCAGCCTTCTCATGGTAAGTTTTTGTAGCCCATAACCTTACAAGTAAACTTGGAATGCTGAAAATTAGATATAACTTGTCGCCAGCATATTGTTTTCCATCTCAAATTTCAGTTTAAAATCATGAAAGCGTGTCTATCTTTCTTCATGAAAATTAGATACTAGGCATGGACATATTGATGAAGGAAGAAGAAGGGGTGCTGGGGCAGTGGACGTGATGTTATAGGTGGTTCTGATTTTCGTAGGTCAGTATTGACATTAGATTATCAAGGAGTGCTCTTCAAATGTTGAATGAAAGGTTCAAAATTACATAATGTTATTTACTCCTTTAATTGATCCGTTAAAGAACAAGAGCTGTGTTTTTACAACTTTTTCCAATGTGTTTTCTGTTTTAACCAATGGGCTTGTAGCTTCTTTGGTTTTCTTGCAAAGCAGGAGAGATGAAGTCTTGAGCTAAAGTCTAATGTTCGTCTCTTAAAAAAAAAAGATACGAAAAAACAGTGGTATCCGGCCCCTGATTGCATAATTTTAATGCGAGTTAATTTTTCTAACTCTTAAAAAGATCACACGTGTAATGCTACTTCGATTAACTCATAGGTTCTCTATGCAGGTACAATAGCAAGACATTGCAACCTCCTTTTCCAGCATCTGCCAGTAATGGTTCTGATTCCAAGGAAGAAGCCAGCAAGTCTCCTGAGCTGTCATCCAATCAACATGCTCAAAACATTAATTCTATTTCTCAGAGACATGGTGCCACTTTGAGTGGGAATCAAGATATGACCATTCCAATCATTGGCCAATCTGGGAAGGCTGAATTAGCATATCCAAGCCCTCGAAATGGATTGATTCCTGTTCGAAGGGGAATGCTCAACAATATATCTACCGAATACAGTCATGATTTCTCCCCTCTATATTATACTCAATCAAGTGCAGCATGGAGTCCCAAACTTGCTGGGTGGCAGCAGTCTCCATATCCTCTTAGTACCTCAATTCATTCAAATCCTGATATTCATGATTCTGAGAAAAATCACAGGTGTTCTGATGAAACTACTTACAACTCTGTTGACCAAAATGATCATCAGCAGAACAATAAGGAACCTGTGGATGAAGTGAGACATGACTCACCTGCTGCTGGTCAGAGTACTGGAGGTTTATGTAATGATTCTGTCATTCATAATAAGAGCAGTGCATATGAAAGCTTTGGCAGTAAAGATGATGGAATTGCCAAAGAGAAGGCCATGGCTCAAGAGAATTTGAATGATGGGGACAACTTCAATCGTGATGGTTTTAGAGGGATGGATTCCCTTCGCTCCAGCCAAAGAGAAGCTGCTCTAACAAAGTTCCGGCTGAAGCGGAAAGATCGATGCTATGAGAAGAAGGTATGTGCGACTTATTGCATAAGCAGATATTTTTCTCATGTGCACCGAGGTGATTCCATCAACAGCTGCTCTGGACCTGTGTCATATAGCTGTCGTATCTTATCATGATCATTACTTTAAATTGTCATCCTTTCATCAACCCTTCCTATTACTGATTTACATGTTGCCATGAGTAATTTGAACTAGCTTGGGAATTTCAATTTCAAGTGAACTGTAGCACATGTATCATGGACAGAGACAGGAAATCTTAGCATTCAGCTGCTAAGAATGATGTGTTATTCCCTGTGGTGAGGATATCAAAATCACATACCGAGACATGTATGCTACTGTCTGCAATTCTTAAACATGTACTTTCTTTGACCTGCAGGTTCGATACCAAAGCCGGAAAAGACTGGCAGAGCAACGTCCTCGGGTGAAAGGACAGTTTGTTCGTCAAGTGCAAAATGATTCCCCCACTTGCTAATAGTTGACCATGAAATTCATCATCACACGCCTGTTTATTGCTATCATGTGCCTTGACCTTTTGGAAATAATGGCATGACTATGGTGAGATAAGAATGTGTTTGCAAGCTTCTTTACCTTTGGGTCTAATGACAGTATGGTTCTAACTGTAATTTTTGGGTCTATTGAAAGGGTAGACTTGTAATTATGGGGTAAGGCTATCTGAATCCTCTTCTACTCTGGTTATTTTGTTTGCTTGCTCAGTAGATGACTGACTTATAGTAGTTAGAGAGCTTTAATAGCGTGGTAATTTTGCGTTGATAGTATAAAAATGGGCTTGTTTATTAAGTTAGCTATGTCAGTATTGTATCATATGATTGCTGAGCAGCTTCCACAGTGTCCGTCTAAAATTTATGTACTCATCAACCTTGCTTTCTGTTGCTCTTCTATAAAATATGTTTGAATTCCTGGTGAGATTTGTAGATAAACTTTTATTTTGATCAATCAATTAGGAGAAAGTGGATGCTATTGCTATTCTTTATGTTTCATTTGGCTCAGCAATCTTGCCTTTGGGGTTTTATCTGACTGGGGCATTCGTTCCCTTGGCTATCTTGACTGCTCTGTGATCAACAACTGTAACTTATGGATGCCTAATCCAGATTATGCGTGTCACAGTTGAGCGAGTTAAATTGTCCCGGGAAAATTGCTGAATTAATAGTCCATGGACTGTGGCTGTGAAGGATTCAAATAATCACTTGGTTTTCTTGGGGGATGATATCATGAACGGCTGCGATTGCTTTCGTGTGTAGATATTTTAGCAAGGGAGAGGAGAGAGATATCAGATGCTTCACGTGTCAAGGAAAAAAAAAGAGGGCAAGTAATGAGGTGTAAGCATGGACCCGACCCTCAGAATACAGGGACTTGGTCTGTGGGATGATGGATATCTGACAAGGCATTAGCTATGAAAAGAGGAAGCACGTAGAAAAGGTAGAACTTAGCCACCTATTTTAGTTACATGCAGACAAGACTTATCCATATGGCGGCGAAGGAACTGTCATGAGCGCTCCTGCCTTTCCATGGTTTGCGGATAGATCAGAGTTCCTGTTCTTAATCTCTCGTTTTATTTTGGGGCCCGGTGCCCCAATTCATATGGTTTGGTGACGCAAGTTATAGAAGATTTCCCATGCGCTTAGTGCAGAGATGGCCAGGGATGTTGTATGTATTTCCTATAATTTGCCTTGTTTCATGTAGCAAGTGTGCAATGGGGAAGAATCTTAGAAAACCTCCTTCTGCATAAAGTTCTGGAGGGGAGATGACGTGAAGATTTATCAGTGGTGTTCGAAAGGAAATGATGCAGTGGAAGTGTTTAGGCTGACCCAGATCCGTTGAAACCTGATTTCAGTATAATTCTAGGTGTCTTTTATTTGGCATGCACATGGAAAACAAAATGAATCTCGTCTTTTATATTGAGTATGATTTTATTTTTTTGGAAATCAAAATGTTCAAGGCACTTCATTATAATTATGATCGATAACATTTTCTTTCAAAACGAGATTGTTACATATCAATTACAGTATTTTGATCCTCATAATTTAAATCAGTTTGCTCAAAATACGTTGTGAAGGTACAGTGTAAACAACTATTATAATCATAAACCATTTTCAACTCGGAAAAATAAGAAGCGAGAAATATTATCATGAAATATTTTTTGAAATATTTTTTGAGTAAACAAGAAGAAACTACAGAAAACATCTTAATCGGTATGTTGTCTTCAAGAACGGTTATATAGGAAGTACCTTCAAATTAATATTAACTCTTTTCTTGAAGATAAATTAGAAGGTAGACCTTTGCTTTAGAACATAATATAACAATTTTTCAGTTTTATATAATAAAAAATGAGTTTATTTATATTTTCTTAAGAAATAACAGAGAATTAAGAATATATACCAATAAACCATGACAAGTTTAAAGAGTGGGATATTGTTGTTAATGAAACGAAAAGAATCATCAGAGAGGAGTGAATGTGTCCGTCCATATTTGGAAACTCGCTTCATCCATGGATAAAGATTGGGAGGGGAGATGCTCGCTACCTTCACCTCTTGGTTTATGTTATGTTGGTGATTTTGTTGACATGGGGCACTACTAGATATCTACCAGTGTTCTTTCCCGCATGATGCCGCGGCTCCTTTTTAAAGAGTTGCTTTTATTTAATCTTAAGGTTATTAAAATAAATATTTTTTAAAACTCAAGCAATCGAGATTCTAGATTAAAAAAATATATTCCTTCATCCAAGATTTCTTTTTGCATGAGTTTTTTATGAAAAAAATATTTTCAATCAACAGCATAAAAAAAGGTTAAATAATTGTAAGAATTAAAATAATTTAAATTCAGTAGAAAAAAACATGCTTCTTTAGACAAGACTCCGTTTTCGATATTCATTTTTTTTTAATGAAAACATGTTTTTTAAAATGAAAACTTTGTAAAGCAATTTAAAGAAACAAAAAATAACATTTCAATTATTTTTATGGCATGTACTTGTAAGAAAAAAAGAAAAACAAGAGAACCTCATATATAAAAATAGAAAAAACGATCACTTTATTTACAAGTGACCCAACTCCCTTTCTTTCCTCTTCAATTTTTGTTCCATTTGTCCCGTACATTCTTCTCCTTCGGCCTTTTTCTTTGTGTGTGTGTGTGTTCTATATATTCGGTACTCGTCATCTTCACCACCCACGCTCTCCTTAATTCCCTACTCTCTCTGTATTTTCTATATATACTCGAACAACCTAATATTATAAAATCGCAGTTCTCATGGCAAAAGAGCACCAACGAAAAGAAAACAACCCACACCTCCTCGGAAAGAAAGAGAGAGGCGCTGGTCATAAGGACCCACGCTGTGCTCTCTTCAAATTCATCACCACCTTCCTTCTCTTAGCAGGTCTTACAGTTCTCATAGTCTGGTTAATTTACAGGCCCCACAAGCCCCGGTTCACTGTAGTTGGGGCTGCTGTATACGAACTTAACACCACAACCCCACCTTTCATTTCAACCTCCATGCAGTTCACTATTTTCACTAGAAACCCCAACAGGAGGGTCTCGATCATGTATGACAAACTCACTGCTTATGTATCATACAGGAACCAAGCGATAACTCCCCCACTGCTATTGCCTCCACTTTATCAAGAGAAAAGGAGCACAGTGGTCATGTCTCCGGTGCTTGTCGGGGCAGGGGTTCCGGTGTCAGCGGAAGTTTCAGATGGGTTGGTGATGGATGAGGCACATGGGGTTGTGGCGTTGAGGGTGGTGTTGCTGGGCAGGTTGAGGTGGAAGGCTGGGGGCATAAAGACTGGGAGATATGGAGTTTATGTGAAGTGTGATATCGTGGTGGGGTTGAAGAAGGGTTTTGTTGGGCAAGTGCCTTTGCTTGGGTCTCCACAGTGTAAAGTTGACATATGAAGTTAATTATATAGGTATGAAACCTGTGTAAGGCCATGAGCTAGCTGGCTAGCTTCTGGTTCTTTTCCTTCTTTACGTGGGTTGAAGTGTTGTTTCTTTTTTTCTTTTCCCTTTTTACTTTCCTTCGAAGTTTCAACATGTAATATGAATTGGCTGATCAAAGTCCAGCCTCAGAGAATCTCATGTCCGAGTCCAGTACTGTCTCCATCCATGCCTTGGCTTATGGTTAGAGCATGATGATCATAAACAACAAAAATGATTTTCTTTTTCTTTTTTCCTTCTCTGGAACTCATTGCTTACGCCGACAAGGTTCATGCATTGATGTGTTTGTTCCTTGTCAATTTTTGTTCTGTTTTTTATTATAATTATTATTATATTTTACAAGGATTTTTCTTAATTTCAACTTAATCACGTACGCCACCCTAGGCGTGAAAACAAACGAGACGCATGGCTCTCCATGCAGCCAAACACGCACCATTTGTCTTTACCATCTAAAAGTATCTGATATATATTTCCAAACTGAGAAGCCATAATTTGTCCTGCATTAATGGTGTCAACTCTTAGCAGCAGATTAAATAAACCATGATAATTAATCTTTACTTTGACCCGCTTTGGATTTGATAACTAGCACAATATATATGAGCATTAATTAGGATATTACACGTATATATATGTGCTCGAACGGAATGTGGAATGAGTCAAAATGTGGATGAGAAAAGCTTCGTTCCTTCCTTGGTCCCGAGGGAATATATTTTGTTCAAGAAGTGAGTAATCAGGGAAGAGAAGAGGGATAGGGAAAAAAAATCTCTGTTACGATTTGTGATATGATAGTAATTTAAAGGTTGGGAAACAAGTGAATGCATCTGAAACTTGTAGAGGTAAATTAATTTGAACTAGTTTCTTCCAAAAATGGACATTTAGTACTTGAGTTTATGAAATGAAATAGGACTGGGGATGCAAAAGCCAGTAGGGCTCTCACCGGAAAGGAGAAATCTGTGGAATATCAGTGATGAGGCCGTGCATGGTCTAACGACCGATGGCACCAGGAAACAGGGTAGCAAAATCAATAAATCATGCGAATCTGATTTTGCTGTGCTCCTTAATTTAAACTTAGAAATATGTATATAAATGGACTAATTTCAGCTCAGTTTATATACAGTTGCAGGCAATGTTTTTAGATTTATATAAAAATGTGAAATTTAAATTTTTAAATATAAAAAAATATTTTTTTAATTTTAAAAAATACTTAAAAAATCGATACCTATCCAAAAAAAAAACCTTCCCTTTCAGAGGTCCAGAGTACGGCGTTATCACTGAACACTCCAGTGCGATAAAAGACGCGAAGAAGGCCTCACTCTTTGACTAAATGTGCTTTCCTTCAAAAGTGAGACGAAATACTTTCACCGACAAATTAAAGACGAACTTATTTTTGTGCCCTTTTTTTTTCCGGTGTACACTGTATATTGCTAGCCGGGTGCCCTAGAGATCTTAGTTTAGTTTGTTTTTTACTCCACGAATTTGTATTTTTTTCCTTAACATTTATGACTAATTGACAAAGAATATTAATACACAGTGGGGTATGGCACCCCCTCATACAGGGCATCGCATCTCTCAACTATAGATTTGTACTTACTGAGAACTTGATTCTTTAAATGATTTTGATGAACAAGGTATCAGATTCATAACTTTGACAATTTAGCAACGAAAGTGATTGTTAGGGGTTATTTTTTAAAATATTTTTAAAAAATTATTAAAATAAATCTGTTTTTGAATTTTTAAAATTTATTTTTGTTAAGTACTTCAAAATAACTTAAAAAATCAATTTTAATAGAAAATAGGTTGAAATCCATGTGTGTTATTGAGTAATTATGCAGAAGCGTTGGGGATCAGCTTGTAAATCAATCACCAATCTTCTTTAGATCCTGCCACCGTAATAGACCCATTCAAAAGTCGAGGCTGTCTCTCTCAAATCAAGAGCTGGCAGCAAGTGGGCTGCTGTAAAGATTCAAAAAGAAAAAAAGTTGGGAAGGAAATGTGAAGATTCAAAAAGAAAAGGCTGGGAAGGGGGAAGAAAAGGGGTATCAGACGCCCATTTGTCACAGCCTTTTGAATTAAGAATCGTAAAGTATTCTCCATTTATAATTTGAGTAGTTCCCTAGCTAGTTACATTGGGATCATTCCTACCAGTCAGGCAGCATCTCCACGGCTTCTCAAATCCCAAAACACTACGATAAACATACAGCTAGTTGTCTGGGCAAACTGTGAATACATTCATGGAGGGGAGAATCATGACTGAGTTGTGAATCGATATCATGTTGTCTTAAAGATATTTGAATTTAAGGGGAAAATCATCAAGAAAGAGGAGAGTTACATTTACTTACGGGCGACTAAATGTTTGTGATGAATGGATAGAAATAAGAACATCAGCGGAGGCCTTCAGGCGTACGGACATGGCCATTGGTCACCTGTGCTGTCCATCCATTTCATTCTCAATAGCAACGACGACATGAAAATGCCAATGGGCTTGTTGTGGACCCAAATCTCGGGCTTAGATGAGACATTGTCAAGAATCTCAATATCGAGGCTTTAGTGTATTCGGCCTATTCAGCTTTGGGCTCAAAAACTCATTCATCTCTCTGCTTTTTAAAGGCCTCGAATCCTTTTCTCTCTCTTTTCTTGAAAAGTATCATTTCTTTCTACTTCTCGTGTATTACCGACTTTAATATCTCAACTGCTAGTCAACTCTTTCTTTTCCTTTTCAACTAAACTTCTTAACTATAAATCCTGCACTCCAAGATTTTTCTACATCCAAATTAGCATCTATTCGGCAAAGATGTTTAATCATGCAAAATATAAAAAGTTAGTTTTGAAAAAATTAGATTTATTTGAGAAAAAAATAGAATATATGTAATTTTAAATATGAAAAACTTATCTTAAAGTATTTCTTTACCTTCCTGTTTATAGTTCATTTAAAAAGTTAAAGAATTAATTACGATATTAATCAAAATTAATTCATGTAATTATTAAAATTTTATTGGATATCATAAATTAAAAATTAAATATGAACATAATAATTATAAATATAAAATTTATTTGAAAGAGATTGTTAACATTCATGAATTGAATTAGATAAAAATTTATCTTTTATAATCTAAAATATTATTTTATAATAAACTCAAGATTGAAATCAGACCTTACACAAAACCTGAGCATGATCTAAGTATAAGATAAGTTAACATCCATAAGTGAATTTAAACTTGAAATTTATTTTACCTAGAACTTCTCTTTGCTAAAAGTTTAAATGTCTATTAGGCCTAATTTTAAGTTTTTAACTACTTATTAAATAAACAATAAGAAATATTTTTTAAAAAGTTATGAATTTTATTAAAATATATCAATTAATGTTTTTTATGATTAATTTTTCATTCATTTGTAATTTATTTAAACATATGCTAATATTCAATGTAAAAGAATTTATATTAGTAAGATTCTTTAATCAAATTTTCAACAAAATCATCTTGTAATCTTACAAAAAGTTTATTGATTTTTGCTCGCCTCATCATTTAAAAGTTTCAAATGATAAAATTTTGTATATAATTCAGTAATAAAATTCATTTATTTAATGCATACGTTATTTTTGATAGAGTAAAGTCCAAAAAAACACTAGTTAAAACTAGTATCGCTCAAATTGTAAGTCTAATATGCACTACATCCTGCAGCATCCACCACAAGAGATCCACATGGTAAAATTGGAAGACGGCGAGGGACCTTTATTTATTGCTCCATCCCAGTTACATTGATTAACTGCTAATAATAATATTAATATGTATCATTGCCTGTTTAAGCAGGTTTAAATGGTTTTCAACATAGTTATAATAACTTACTCGAGGTCGATGCGGTCGAAAATTCAAGTCATGCGTCCAGCGCAAACCTGGATATCCAATATTTAACTTCTAAAATATGATTTTAGTAATAATAATAATAATAATAATAATTAAACATCGGACCAAAGTATTGACTTGTTAGAATTGACTTAGATGATGTTGTATTTTTTTATTATTATAATTAATGGTATTTTTCAATTGAAAAATATATAAAAATAATGCTTTTAAATTTGTAATTAAGGAATAAAAAATAGAATCCAGCTGGGGCGGATTGGATGTGGAAGGGGCAATGTAGTGCTATATATAAAAAAAAAAAAAAAAAAAAAAAATTGGAAGTTGGACACAAGATGGGTTCCCACTTCCCATTCCCAACATTCTGGATGGAAGGGAGGAGGAGGTCATAAATAGGCGAGGACAGAAACGCAAGTGAATTGATTGAGAGACTTATTTGATGGTAGAAGCAAGAAAGATTCAAGAACAAGACCCGTTGTTTTTTTATTGATTCAAGGTATGTTTTTCCCTTGCTTGTTACACCTCTTCTATGAATTCAATTCATTTGTTTATGTTAAAATGTCAATGTCATAACTATATAGGCTGGATGGCATTGATGTATTTGCTAATCGCTTGCTGCTGTATTCTTTTCCTTCTTGCTTTTTCATTAAGTACAATCTCTGGACTTGTGGGTTTAAGTTTGTTTGTTTATAATGAGTATCTTAGAAAGAGTCAGTCAGTCAGTCGTGTTTTGTTACTTATCTTAATTGTTCTTGTTTATTATCCTGTTGGTTTTTTCCTTGTATTACTCGCAGCAGGGCAGTTTTCACTTTTCAAGACCAATAAATTTGGTGTATATGCTGGTTTTTGGTTTGGTTTTGACTTAGCATGGATCTGATTGCACTAGATCCTTTTCCTAATGATTCAATCGAAAAGCCTTCCTAGGAGATTGAGATCTGTACTAAATTTTGTACAAAATGGGTGTGTTTTACTTCTTCTAGTAAGATTCACTCTGATTCTCTGGTTGTTGAACGATGCTTCTTAGTGTGTCGGGTGATAAAGTTTTCCTTCTCACCGACAATTATTAGGCTCTTCGTTGCATTGCTGACTTCCTGTGACTAATAAAGTTCGAGTGCCTTGAAAGCTAACCTATTAGCTCATCTCCTTTATGGCTTTGGTCCTTGGATCTCCATTCTTTACTCTGCGGTTTTCTTTTTTCTCCTAATCTTCCATTAGAGATGTTAAATGCTCGGCAAATTTTTCCCTGTGAATTTTAGGTGCTTCGCTTGTGAACTTAAATTGCTAATTCCTGATTACCATCTTTCATGGATTTTGAACGAGCATTAAAAAAAAATTGGAACTTGTTTATATTTTATTTGTCGTTGAGCAGGTTGTGGTGTCTGTTTTACCAGACAGCTTAGATTGCAGGCAGGGAATGTTCTGCTGTTGGCAGGTTTAGCTTGTGATCATCACATTGTGAACTTAACTTTCTAAGTCCGTTTGGAATTCTGAATTGAAGTTAGTGGCCTTCTGACACCCTAAATGTCTTGATTTTTACTGGTTTGGGCTGGCTATGTGAGTGACACTGTACGGAATCAATATATCTCTGTGTTTATTTCTACTGTGAAGTTATTGGGGGTTACGAGTGACAGCGTACAGAATCAATATATCTGTGGGCTTCTCTCTACTGTGAATTTATTGGTGTTATTTCTAACAAACGCTACTTCAATGATGTATTCGTATTTTACTCAATCAAATTCCTGTTTAAGGTAGCATGCCTTGTCATTAAGAGTTCAGGGTCTAGTTCTGTTAAGACCACTGTCTTTGAAAAGGCCAGAGGAGGAGTAAGGTTACTAGTTCAGAATTAGAATGTTACTTTTAACAAGTTCATGCAATCAAATAACCTTTATAGGTTTTGGCGATTAGACTTGTTGAATATTGAACCTGGAATTTCTCCCTTTGGTGCCTGAGTTATGAAATGTTCATCTTTCAGTTCTTTCATTTTTTCTCTCTTTTTGTATGCTGGTTCATCATAAACCATTTTTTTTTTTAATAAGTCGAGATTCATTAGAAATAAACTGAAAAGGGCGAGAAATAATCTTGTGCTCCTAAAACAACACCAATTCTCCAAAAGAGAAACCTTAGTGCACTGCCTGTGCTAACAAGGACCAAAATTCCTCGTTCTAACAAGCTATGGTGTATTTACTGCTAATGTTTAGGACAGTATATGTACTCTTCCATGTTTCAATTACAGAATACACCGTGCAACTTGATACTTAGGCATATTCTGTTAAAGTTCATATGGTATTCTTGGTGTTGCTGTGAACTTTCAGATGGAAGCACAAAATCCTCAGCATGGGCATCCAGTTGAAATAAGCGTGGATTTTCTTGATGGAGAGAGGAGTGGAGGAAGCAAGGGATGCGGGGAAGCACCTTGTGGATTTTCAGATACTGGAAATAACTCCAAGAATGCCAAAGAACGTTCAGCTTCCATGCGCAAGCTCTGGATATCCGTGGTACTTTGTATAGTCTTCATGAGTGCTGAGGTAGCTGGTGGCATCAAAGCTAATAGTCTGGCAATCTTGACTGATGCTGCACATTTGCTTTCAGATGTTGCAGGCTTTGCTATCTCCTTGTTTTCTTTATGGGCAGCTGGCTGGGAAGCCACACCCCGCCAATCTTACGGATTTTTTAGGATTGAGATTCTCGGTGCATTGGTTTCCATGCAGCTCATCTGGTTGCTTGCAGGGATTTTGGTTTATGAAACCATTATTAGGCTCATCCATGATACTGGTGAGGTAGATGGGTTCCTTATGTTTCTTGTTGCTGCATTTGGTCTTCTGGTGAATATCATAATGGCTCTTGTGTTGGGACATGATCATGGGCATGACCATGATCACAAACATGGGACTGGCCACAGCCATGGAATCACAGTTAGTACTCATAATCATCATCACGTGGAGCACCCAAAACATGATGACAATCATCATGACCACTCGAACAATGAGCACCATCATTATCATGAAGATCATGTTGAGCCGCTGCTGGATAAAGGAGAAGCCATGCATGAAAAGAAGCAAAGGAACATAAATGTACAAGGAGCTTATCTCCATGTACTTGGGGATTCCGTCCAGAGTATTGGGGTAATGATCGGAGGTGCAGTTATATGGTATAAGCCTGAGTGGAAGATAATAGATCTGATCTGCACCCTAATCTTTTCGGTTATAGTTTTGGGTACAACTATCAAAATGCTACGGAACATACTTGAAGTCTTGATGGAGAGCACTCCAAGAGAGATAGATGCATCAAAGATTGAAAAGGGATTGTCTGAGATGGAGAACGTGGTGGCTATCCACGAACTGCATATATGGGCCATTACCGTGGGCAAGATTCTTCTGGCTTGTCATGTGAAAATCAGGCCTGAAGCAAATGCAGACATGGTGCTAGACAATGTGATCAACTATCTCAGAAGGGAATACAATATAAGTCATGTAACCATCCAGATAGAGCGTTAGCGGAGGTGAAGGAATTTACTAGTTGAATCTGGGGCGTGATGTTTCTGAGAGTTATGCTTTTTCTATCACATGAACGCATATACTGTTCATAGTGATTATTAGGTACCAGTTAGACATTGTCATCTTTAATATGGCCATGGCCGCTGTTTGGCTTCTGGTATTGTGAATTTACACGTAGGTTTGGTATGCATAGCTTCTTCAATCCTTTCTACCGCTCCATGTCATACAAGTTTATAAAAACATCAATATACATAAAATATTAACATATACTCTCTGGCAATTAACAGTTAAATGCTGTGGCTTTTCTAATTTGGTTATTAAAATTTATTATTTTTCAATTGTATCCTTCCATATCCAGTATGTCAACCAATTTGTCAAAATTACTTAATGAAAGAAATATTAAATAATGGGGGATCGAAGTGTGAAACATAGATTCCTCCATCCTCCAATTTATATATATATATATATTTTTTATTTTTTTCAGGTTAGAGAATAAAGAAATTGTTGGGATCCCAACGAAGAGAATAAAGACAACAACCACGTCTGCCTCTTTTGTTTGTGAAACGATGAACAGTTTCCTAATGAAAGAGGGGCACGATGGTGTCGCTTATTCATGTACTTTCCCCTCAGAGGTTCGAATCCTACGGTGCATATTTGCATAATGGTTTTTCTTCTCTTCATTCCTTTTTATTTTTGGAAACTTTATTTTTTCCTTGGAAGCTTTATTCGTTCTTTATTTCATTCTTCAATGATCATTCTTTTTAATTTTTTTTCTATGTGGCCTGTTTAAAAGTTTTTTTTTTATAGTTTTTGAGAATGTTTTGAATTATTATATTGTAATAAAAATGATTTTATAATTATTCAAAAAAGGTTCCAGTACTTGTTTTTTATATTATACAATAATTTTTTTAAAAAAAATTATTAAGCCTAATAATTTAACAAGTTAATTCAGATAGAAAATAATATTGTTTTTCAACGTATTATCACTTAAAACAGTTGTTTTAAATCCCGCATATTTGTACATAAAGTTTATTTATTTTAAATCTGACTTACTATAGCGTTTAATAACAATAATAAAAAGCCCTCCATGAATTGGACAGTATTTTTTTACACTAGATTTTTTTTTTTTAATAGACCTGCAGCATAACAGGAAATAATCCTAGTTCTTTCTACAGGAAGAAACTTTCGTCGGGCTGGGAAAGGAAATTGCTTTGTCTACCGCCAGTGTTAAGTTTTAACACGGATAGGCTAGAAGAATTTCTTGTTTTCTCAATCATCAAACTGTGTACAAGTTGTGTGAATGCATAGTACATCCGTGAGTAACTGAGTGCTATATACAAAATTCAAAAGCATGCTGACGTGTGTAACAGAAACAGCAGATAAAGATCTAAGATTATTTGGTCTGATTTTTAGTTGCTGCAGAATCTTTGACTTGATCACCAAAACTTGATTCAATAGCATGCATCCACTGTTACTGTGAGTCGGGGTCTACCACTGATAATTTCCTAGAGTCACAAGCACCAAATTGAGGTGGGGATGAAGCATCTCTCCAGGCAACAGCTCATTTGTTATGCTACATCTGGGAACATGATGCTAGGATGTGGGGGCGCTGCGCTGGTGTCATCCCATCGAGGGAAAAGATCCGAGACCTTCTTACAGTGAAATGCTGGCAGGACCATCAGTAAACTGACCTGGTGACACGGTTGATATTAAAAAAGATGCTGAAACGGGAATCACTGCAGGGAAGCTACTTGACCTTGCAAGATGAGAACAAGATCGACAGGTATAACGTTGATGGGTGGGTTAATGCTAGACACGTTGTTGTTATTTTCTTTTCCTATGGTCTCTGGATGGGTTAGAATTAATCAATCAGCTACAAGACAAGTTGAAATTGCTGCAGTTTCTTGAGATTGACCCTGGTTGTGTGGCTAGAGGTGTACAATAATTCTATACGAGTAAAAAGGAACCACATCATTGTTCAGAATGGATAAGGTTCGTAGACATTGTCAAGTGAAGTTTGGTTTTTTCAAGCAAAGGTTCAATGGATCCAATTTGTCTTCTTTGTAAATGGTGTATTTCGTAGACTATCCGTCTCTTCCATGTAAGTTAAAACACACTTCTAGCATCTTGCCGCTTAGAATTTGTCATGGTGGTGAGCTGTGTTAGATTGCTCGCCCTGATGTAGAAAGGGGAAGCTGCCACATGCGAGGTGATTGTAAGAAAGTACATGTCAAGCCATTGAAAGAAAAAACAACGCCTCACAGGACAGGAAAGGCAGGACAGGATTGAGGTTTAGAAAAGAGGATATGGAGTGTTTCATGGGATCCCAAGGTTAATTTTAAAGGTGGCCCTTTTTCTAAAATGCAAGGTTGTCTTAGCTGGGATTCTCAGTGTCTGGGAGTCAGAAGAAGCATGGTGCCCTTATTTATGAATTATTGGCATGTTGTTGTTAGGATCCTCCGAAAATTGTGAGACAGGGTGCCTTGATCATGAGGTAATCTACTTGTCCGATTAAAGGACAGTGTGAAGCTGGGGCCGCAGGTTTCCGATTTTCCTTTCTCCCTTCAAATAACTGAAATTAGAACTCGGGTGGAGATAACCTCAAAAAAAACATTACTCGGTCATCTTCTTAATCAACATTTACTTAGTAGATGAATTCTTTAAAGTGAAAAATTTTTGTTTGAATAAATCCAGGAAAAAAAAAAAAACCCTTTGAATTGCACCCTGCTTAAAAGAAAGGCAATGGATTAGTTTCCAAGAGGATTTACCCCATTAGTCTCCGAGCAAAAAACTAGAGCACGACACCATTTGAAGAAACAAACTTTGGACCTGTGCTTCTGTCCGGCTCGTTCTGCTACTGAAATTCTATCTTTGGGATCTATCAACTAATAAGTTCATGACTAGAACTGGAAGCTCAAAAACCCACCGGAATGGGTTTAAGGCAAGTTTTCTGGGAACTATATTGCTAATTTATTCTCCACCATGTATGCATGCTCCCTTTCGAGAAAAAAGGTTTGCTCCCCGACATAATTAATGCCAAATATGCGCACAAATAGAGTCCATCCAAAAAAATTCAATTACCTAGGATGACAACGCCCCCTGCGTCTTTCAAAAATATCACCCCCGCGTGCACGCCTGGTTCGAGCGCAGGGCTTGAGCTGGTAATGGAAAGAGTTTGTCTAATTTTACTGTATTTGGATTCGAGTCCTGTATGTTTGTCATTTTTGCGGTGTTTTACATATCTACTGGGTTTGCAGGACTGGTTCGAGCCAGGGTTTGGTCTAGTAACGGAAGTAGCTTGTTTTTTTTATTGTAGTTAGATTCGAGTTTTGGTATGTATGTCGATGTCTTACATACCTACTGAGTTTGCAGGGTATTTAATGGATCATAAAGATTAGTCGTGGTGCGCGCAAAATGGCCCAAACACCCCCCATAAATCAAAAAAAAATAAAAATATCACCGATGAAAGACGAAAGTTAAAAAAGAACAGGTAAATTTGCCTTCCTTTACCAAGATGCACTAAGAATGTGAACGTCAAAAGTTCAATTAAACATTAATAAATTCAGTCCAAACTAGTGGTGGGGTTATACATTAATAAATTTTCAAGTTTGAAGACATATTAATAAACTATTATTAGGATTTTATCTATCGAATTCCCCACGCTGCGATGTGATGGACCAAAATTTTTTAACGTGTAAAACAATAAGCCCATTATTAAGAGAGATTATTTGTGTATTATTAAACTTAATTTTAAGAGTTGAATCCGAAACTTCTCAATCATACTTTTTATTTGATTTAAATTTTAAATTAAACTTGATAGTAATTATTTGGATATAGCTAAGTTAACTTGTTGAGTTACCAAAATTCAAACTATTAGTAAAACTATAATTTAATTTTAAAAAAAAATTGAAGATAATATTTTTTTAAAAAAATATTGAGACAATAACACTTTAAATCAACTTGGTTCAATTTATATTAACCTGTTAAATTCACGACCTAAATTATTAATTTAATTGAGTTTAATAGTTTTATTTTTAAGAAAAAAACCCTTTTTTATTTAACTATACTATAAAAAAAACATATGCTTGCAAAAATGAATATCAACTCAATATCAAGATGTTTTTATGATATCACCATAATCCTATAAAAAGTAAATCAAAATAAATCATGAAGCTTGAATTTCAATAATTATAATTTCTTTTAAAATTATTTTTTATTTAATAATATGATAAAAATAAATGATTAAAAAACCAAGTATTAACTTAATGTCATTATGTTTTTTATTTATCGCAATAACCTCATAAAAAGTTAATCGAAATAAATCATAAAGTCTGATTTATAACAAATTTTTTTGAAACCATTTTTATTTAAAATTATGATAGAATATTTTTTATTTAATGATATAACACTTAATAACCTTTACAAGAGATAGATTTCATTATAAACAGGGTTGTAAAAATATATTCTATTATCTATTACAGAGGCTGAATGCATTGCTCCAATTAAAATGGATAAAAATCTATCATTAATGAAAAAATTCTTATCTTAACTACGTTCATTCTTGATTAAAATACTTTGAGATTAGATATAAATAAATTCAAGGTATTATGAAAATAAAATTTTTTATTGCTGAAAAGATGCAAATAAATAATAATATTTCAGATATAATGATTTAGCCTTTATTAAAAGAGAACTTTGACATATATAGAAAGCAAATGAGTTTGATAAAGCTCACTAGATGAATAAAGAGGGAAAAATTGTGAGGTTTAATCTCTTTTTTTTTGGAATATAACGTATATAAACTAAAAAAAAAGAGGCATATGTTTGAAGCCTTTAAAAAACCAACTTTGACTTATTTTTATTGTGGACCAATAAATACATGTGAAAATGAAAAGAGTGGGGGCTTTTGGCCAAAAAAAGAGAGGGTGAAAAAAAGGTGTGTTATTTATCCGCATCTTAATTAGATAATGATTTGTTACTTGATTAAGACAAGATTTTGAAATGTTATTCCAATCAATAAGCTTTTCAACTTGAATGGTGTTGATTGTTGAGAAGTTTTAATTTTTAGGTATCTCAAAAAGATATAATTGGTGAGATCTAATTAAATTTAATTGTTGTTGTTGATAGAATTTATCTTTATGATTATAAACAGATGAATTGATTTATATTCTCTAGTTAAGCTAAGGTATAACTTTGTAATCTTGTTATCTAAACTAGTGAAAGAGTTTGAGTGAACTACAATTCCGTAATTTTTCTTTTTATTGAGATTTTCAACGTAAAAATCCCTAGTATTGTGTGTTTATTAAACTTTGTATTTTAATTGTACAAAGAGGAAAAAAATGAGACTTAAGAATTATGAATTTGATTATATTGATATCTTTTTCCTAACAAAATTTAAATAACAAAAAATTATATGCTATTAATAAATGGAGATTCTCTCTATCTTATAGGTTAATTGTCTTTGATTGTATTTTACATATGATATTACATAAAATGTTTAAGAAATAGGGACACTGGAACTTGCTACATCCATGCAAAATAATAATAAAAAGCAGTCATAAGTTACTGTCAAATAATTATTTTAATTTAATAATTTAAATTATTAAATAAAAAATAAAAAATAATTTTATATTACTCTTTAACAATTGGACTCTCATATGTATTGTATTTTATATGTGTGTGTAAACAAATGTGAAAATCATGGTGGTAATTTGTATATATAAATATTTTACTGAGAAGTTATTTTTACATCAACTTACATATTAATTAAAACACATTAGTTTTCTCAATAAATTTTAAAAATACATACTTATATTATTATCTTGATATATTAAAAAATAAAATTTTATAAATACCAGTAAAGTTTCAATTAATATTTTATATATATATATATGTGTGTGTATGAACAATTGCAAAAATCATACTAGTACTCTGTATATATAAATATTTTACTAGGAAGTTATTTTTCCATCAACTTACATATTAATTAAAACAAAATAGTTTTCTCAATAATTTTAAAACACACATCCTTATATTAATATCTTGATATATTAAAAAATAAAATTTTATAAATACCAATAAAGTTTCATTTTTTTTTAAGTAACAAAACATAAACTGATGGTATCACCAACTCTGTATTTGCACGGGGGAGATAATCATAAATTCACTCCTTCTATTTCATCAATATTTTTATTTGAGTTCATAGACTTTAGTTGTTTTTTTATTTTAGTGTTTTTGTACATTTAAAGACAAATGAATCAATTACATTTAACACAAACACATGATCATGAAGATGCTTCTAATACTTATAAGAAACTCAAATAAAAATTATTATTCGGTTGACCTGTGCTATGTTGTTGATTATAATAAAAAAAGATTTAAGCATGAAAAATATTTATTTATTGATAATGTGTTTTCTTTTTTTAAAAAAAAGATTTCAATCATGAATTGAATGGTATTGAGATAGAAAACACTTGATCTATTTGAGTTAAATTAGGCCATCCTCCAAAACTTACGAGTATAATTTAAAAAAAAATAAAAAACTTAATTCTAGATTAATTTAATATCAAAAGACAATAAAAAAAATAATTTAATTAAAAAAATTAAGTGAACTTAAGTCAATCGAGCAAACTCATGGAAAAAGTCACACGTTTAATCAGATTTAATAATTTTTTTTTATCTAACAGATTATTTTACATTTAATTACGCAACAATAAGGCCTATGATAATTTTTCAATATGAAATATATTTTTGTAAAAAAAAAATCACGATAGGTTTAACTTAAATAAAAAAAAGGTTGAAAATGTACCTTTTTTTAAAAGTTTGAGTTGAATAAAAAAAAGATCATTGATAATAAATAGTGAAATTGCATTTAAAAAAAATAAGGGATAAAAAACAAATAATAATTTAGACATCATAGATTAACTCGTTAAATTCACAACTCAACTAATAAACTCAATTGAGTTAAATAATTTGTTTTATTAATGTTTTCAAGTCAAATATAAAATAACAAAAATAAAAAATAAACTCAACCAAGTGGACCTAGATATTAAAAAAAATAGCCTAGACATGCAGGCCTTCAATCCCAGTTCGTGTATTGGGCTCAACCCATTTAAAGGGGTGAATGCCACCCCTCTTTAATTCTTATTCAAAAAGAACAATTTACAACATCCAATATGCAATAATAGACAACACAAAGGTTGCCAAAAAATCAACCTCTCAACTTTTTTTATTTCAAAATAATTTTTTAATTTATATTTTCATTCAAAACATTTAGAAAAAACTTTAAACACTTTGATAAACTTATTTATAGCCACTATAAGACCAAAAAACGTATTAGAAAACCAAAATCAACTCATATTCAAAATCATTCTCGTGATCAGATCTATTTTTCTGGATAAAGATAGGGAAAAAACATTTATGTAAAACTCACCTCGTTAAATGTAATTTATTGACATCAAAATTAATTATTTTAGTGGTTAAAATCAATACCAACAATATCTATCTATTTATCTCTATACTGAGATGTAAGATTTGATAATTTTTTTATTTTCTCTAATAAAAAAATTGAAAAATAAGATAAATAAACTTTGATATCAAAACTAAATTTTTAAAAATTAAAGAGACTAATTAGCTAAAAAAAAATAGGAGCTAAAATGAACTTTTAACACAAAATTTAAAACTGCCACCTATTTTACTTACTTTTTTTTTACTTTAGTCTTTTTTTTCTTTTCAATTCAACACTTTCTTTCAAAAAATACATTTAATTGAATGCTAATTTAAACTTAAAATAACACAATCATACCAGAAAAGAATTTGAGGATCAATTTAAAAATTTAAACCATAAAAATTACTGTAATAGTTAACCTATACGTGCTCTAGTTTTTGTTAATTAATTGACGGGGTAGAGATACCAAAATTGTGTGTAGGAAGATATCAAATTTGTTAATTAATATTAAGGACGCGTCATCAGACGGAGTGACACTATCCATAGAAGGACTTTCCATAGGCGTTAAAATAATCGCTTGAAGGAGGAGAGGGAGGGAGGGAGGAGTCCCCACAACTGGCTGTCCCCGCTGCTGGACAAACCGCCCCCCTCCAATAATGCCACTGGGACCTTCCAAACCAGACAACTGATCTCCATTCCCTTCTTCTCTCTATCTACCTGCTAAACTCTCACCAACTCTCAACTCTTTTCACTCACTACTCTAATTTACATCTTTCTAGCTAACTCGGGTGGGTTTCTCTCTCTCTCTCTCTAACCCTTCGTTTGATTTTGAAGTTTTACCCATCTTGAACAATCCTTCTTGGGCTCCATTTCTAATTACTAATACCACTACTAGCTAGGTTGGTTACTCTCTCTCTCTCTATCTCTCTTCCTGTAGAGTTAGTTCTTCAAAGCATTTAATGTTATTATTCTATATAAGAGTATCACCAGCTGCAGAACACAAAGGAATATATTAATTTTTGTGGTGGTGTACATGGGGTCTCTTCTGCTTCTTGGGGGTTACATTTATTACTATTGTTTTGTTAGCACCACAATGGAATGTTGGTGAGGAAGCGAGAAAGTGAGAGAAATTAATTTAGCGCTCTCGCTCTTGCTACTATCTACTACTGCTCATCGATGGAGAGGCTCCAAGGACCCATCAACTCTTGTGTATGTCACTGCTATTCATTTTAGTACTTCCCACTCTTTCCTTGAGTACCTTAAACTAGAATCAAAGAAATGGACTTGCATTTAATTACTTGTCCGAAGGCTTGCATTCATTGCATTGCATTATTTTTCTAGAAATGCTACCGTTTCCTGTACTGTTTCCTCCACTTTGACATTCTATTTTCGTTCTTCTTTTGTTTCACTTTCTCTATTGAAACTTAAACACCCATCAAATCCATGACAGTTTAATTTTTCTCTATACTTCCTCAGAAGGTTAGGTGTAAAACCCCAACCAAGAACCTCCCTCGTTACCTTTCTTTTATTTGAGATTCTTTTTTAATGAGCTTTAGTTTTCTTTTTGCAGTTCTTAGAGGAGCCTAGCTTGGATTTGGGGTGCTTAGACCAAGTATTTATCAACACAGAAAGCTTAAGATTTGGAGAAGAAGAACCACACATTTTAAGTCCATGTTTTGAAGACAAAATGCCTTATCTTCAAATGCTTCAAACAGTAGAAACGCCGCCATTTTTCCCCTACAAAGAACCCAGCTTTCAGACACTACTAAAACTTCAACACCTACAAAAACCATGGAATACGAACACTTTTTACATGCCTGAAACAGATACCCAAGTTCAACCGCTAGAGCTTGAAAGTTGTGTCACCCATGACATAGTTGATTTACACTCACCTGTCAAATCTGAAACCAAAGAGCACCCTAACCCACATTCAAATTCCTGCCTCGAAGGTGTAAGTCCTGAGCCCACAGAACCCAATTCAGACTCTTCAATTCCATGGAGGGCTCAACCCCAAACCGTGCCTAATATCACAACCCATTTCTCCGAATCCTCTACAATAATAATCACCAGAGAAAGAAGAAAGAGAAAACGTACAAGGGCAACCAAGAACAAAGAAGAAGTAGAGAGCCAACGCATGAACCACATTGCTGTTGAACGCAACCGCCGTCGCCTAATGAACGACCATCTTAACTCTCTCCGCTCTCTCATGACACCATCTTATATTCAAAAGGTAGTCATATAATTACTATCTAAATTCCCAGCTGCTTTATTTTCTTCTATTACTTTCAAGAATTCAATTTTAGACTTACGAATTCAAAACCCCTTAATTATTTTTTTTTCCACTATTTTCCTCGAGAACTCAGTTTTATATATTGTGGGCCAAACTTGGTCTTTTTTTCTTTGTATTTTTTTTTTGGTTGGATAAAAAAGGGTGATCAAGCATCGATCATAGGAGGTGCAATAGACTTTGTGAAGGAACTAGAGCAGCTTGTTCAATCTCTTGAGGCACATAAACAAAAGAGAGAGATAGAAACAGCCTCCACTACGGGCATTTCTTCCAACCAGTACTCGACTTCGCAGCCACAATGTGACATTCTGGTGGAGGGAGGCACTTGTGAAGAGGAAAGAACAGTGAAGAAGAAATCGGAGGCGACGGAGATAGAGGTGGCTGCAGTACAAAACCATGTAAATTTGAAGATAAAGTGTCCAAGAATTCCTGGGCAGTTGTTGAGAGCTATTGTTGCATTGGAGGACCTTGGGCTTACGGTTTTGCACCTTAACATCACTTCTTCTCAAGCAACAGTTCTGTACTCTTTCAATCTTAAGGTACCGTTCCTCGTGTTCCCCAAGCTATTTTCATTGTTTCTTCGCTTTGGTCACCTATTCTGACTAGCCAGCTAGCTAGGTTCTTGCCCTAATCAAAAAGACCAAAAACCCGTTATCACGCCAGCTCTTGATTTTTATGGGTTTTATTGTGGTGCTGTCGTGGCAGTTAGAGGATGATTGTAAGCTGGGATCAACGGATGAGGTAGCAGCAGCAGCTCATCAAATAATATTCAGCAGTATCAACGGTTAGCTGATGGGTCTATATATGATAGGACTTAGGAGTTCTGCTAGGCAAGAGAGCCATCAAATTTACAGCTGAATTTATAGGATTACTGATATTACTGTACTTCCCTTTCTATGGAAAACAAGAAAATGTAATTTTGGCTTTATGGGGGTGGTAGACGAGGAGCAGACTATGCAGAAGGGCGACACCATTGTCTCCATTCTGAGCTCTTACTTTTTAGTGAGAGGGATGCCAGGGGCAGATGATGCTTTGCTTACTGCTTAACTTGCTAAAAGAGATTGCCTTGCTTATTTATTAGCCTTTCTGAGTATGACGGTGCTTTTAAAAAACATTTTTTGATTGAAAATAAATCTTAATAATACACACACACTAGAACATCAAGTCATTAAAAAAGAAAAAGAAACGAAATCCCAAATTGAACTGAGACTTTGAAATATGGGTGTGTTTCTGGAGATTGGGTTTTGGGTTCTTTTTTATTTTTTGTTTTTATTCTTGGTGTGGAGATTGAGTTAAAAAAAAAAAATCCTGCTTGGTTGCAGGGTACAGTTGGTGGTCCAAGCTGGGTGTTGGGGCAAATACCTTAGAATAATAATAATAATAATCTAATATCTCTCCCATTATGACAATTGCAAATTATGTCTCTCTTTTCATATTGACTTTGGGATGTCCGTATGAATGGATTTGGATGTTCCATCATTGTACAACATCTTATGCACCTGCTCCTTTTCGTCCTCTCGTTTTCGGCTTGGTTGGCTTTAGGTTTTGTGTTCATACTGGATTTTAATTCGTGGATATTCAAGTTTAACTCGCTAATAACCTATAGTTCTATGTTGGAAAATTGCATTAACATGATATACAGATTATATTGACTGAATTTAAACAATGATTCTCAAATTGATGATCTGCAAGATTGCTTCAGAGCCACAAAAAAAAAAAACTTGAAACAATAAAGTTTCAAGTCCTCTTACAATGAACCAAATCGTACTCGCTCATTTGAAACAGTTGGTGCAGATAAAGCCAGCATGATTGAGTTACACTCTGATAAGAAGAATAGAATTAAATTTTTATTAAATTGTAAGTTTAATAGCCTTTCTCACTTTTATTTTCTTTAACCTTGTAGCAGGCGTGTGAGAGTATCGTTGCCTGCTCCATACTATGATTGTTTCGATTCCCGTTTAGCTAGCCTTTTATTCCATATTTGGAAATGAAACTTGGAACGTCAAGAAAAATGTTGGGACCTGAAGGTTAACACGTGCATCGATCAACCCAGCACACTCTAAAATTGATATTGCAAGAAAGGAGGATGAACTGGCTAGAATATGATGTGCCTTTGCTTCATGAATTTTTGAGTTGAGATTTGAAGGCGTTTTCATGGCTTTTCTTATAAACAAAAAAATAACAATAAAGCGCCAACTGACAAGCGAAGAAGCAGAAGACAAATTTGCATAAACCCGGGTTTTGAAGATTGGTCAAATAAAAGATAACATCAAGACCAGGGAACCACAGAGCAAAACAAACAACTAAGGATGCAGCTGAGCTCCATGCAACCATATTCTTAACAAAACTCAAGCAGTACTTCTGAGCAACTAACAATAACAGCATCAATGGCATAAATCAAGACAATAAAGAGAAAGACTGGGATCCATACTGGCAGGGTTTCATGGAGTGAAATAACTCGCAGACCAACCAAGAACAACCCTAGCTATTCAGAGAAAGCATAACCCCTAGATCCAGCCTCTGTAAAACACTTTCAGGGATATCAACACCAACTGCATCATTAAGATAAGAATCCGCCAGAGATATGAGATGAAGACACAAAACCCATGTAATCAAAATTTATAGAGACACCTTGTTTGGCATGACCATATATTGCGATTGGCTTAATGCAAGATATGAGATAAAGACACAAAACCAATATTGTAAGAAGAAAAATGAGTAATTAACTAGGATGAAGAGTTCATGATTATGCCCATGGCCTAATTGATGGTTTATGCATCCGGTTAATCGCATTAGAAGTGTCAGATTCTACAATAATTTTCACTTCAGACAGATTTTCTCTGGAAAGGGATAATTCTAGAGCTTTAACCATAACTAGTTGGTTTTTGATCCCTGAAGGGATAGTGAAAAGTCCCAGCACCATTACCTTACGATAACGTAGAACCCCACCTATACCAACAAAACCAGGCTTGCTAAAATAAGATTCATCCATATTTCATTGTAACATAAAGGGCTAAGGGCAGACCATAAAACAAACGTTCTAGAGTTCTTGATATTAGTCCATCTGATCAAACGTTCTAGACAACAAGATGGAGAGGTGAAGTGACAAGGCATTTTCATAGCTATAGACAACAAGATGGAGAGGTGAAGTGACAGAGAGTATGGGATTTGGTTTCCTTGGAAAATGCCTGAATGTTTGAAGCCGAGTCCCAGCGGCATGCAATGAAGTTAATTTTTTTCTAACATGAATTAACGATGATCTGGCAATGAAAATATTTTTAAAGAATCAATAAAAATATGACTCTGTAACTTGACATGGAAAATCAGCTTAATTAATTTAATAATACAATTCGAAAAATAGTATAATAGTAAATAAAGCAAACAATAATAAATTGAGGATAATTAACTATAAAAATTAGCTGTTAATATTATATTTGGGACTAGAGAAAGAAAAGTTTATTAAAAACTCATTGTCACTTAATCGTTGACACTGCTCCACCATCAAAATAGTTCTAACGCTGCCACGCAGTTAACGATGATCTCAATCAACAGCATTTTGTTTCGATGAAACATGGACCTCTCTTAGTTTTTTTTTTTTTTTTAATTGTAACGGCAGCTACGCGAGAGGTTATCTTATTCCTATTAGCTTAAGCTTCACCTCATGGATTCATTCGCCTTCAAATAAATTAGAAAAAAAAATTGTAAATAAATTAGAAAAAATTGTTGTAAGTAGCAAACTTCATACTTGAACCACGCCATGACAATGGAGTCTATACTGCGAAGCAGATATTAGTGACATGGTTGAAGGATTGATCGCAAAGGGCAAAGAGTTTTGAAGGATGGAAAAGGGGTAAAGTCAAAGTGTGAGGAAAGGAGATAGTTAGAAACCCCATGTTCCAAGTTTCTGCAAATTGTCATAAGGCTCAGATAGAGAGAGATGCACAGTGTACAGCAGCTATAAGAGCACATATCCCCATGCCCGAAAGCATCCCCAACGTCTAGTCAGAGACATATCTCCATTTTCTAGCCCAGTCCCAGTCATTTTGGTCTTTCGAGTCTCTTCTTTTAACAGCTTTTTTGCTCCTTTTTTTTTCCCGTCCTCTTTCTCCAAGGTCAGTCTCAGTCTCGAATCATATATTTTAACGAACTCCTTTTATTTTATTTTTTAAAATAAGGAAAACCACTGCATTTTACCAGCTTATAATATCCATAATAAAAAAATATTTTGAATAATTGTATCTGATTGGACTGTTTGATGCTAAATTTGTGTGTATAATTACACAAACTGAATTAGGTACATATAAAACCTCTATGGATGTGTCAATTCATAAATAAATCATCAGAATTGCATAACTACAATAAGTGTGATTTTGAGGCAGCGAAGCTAGAGACAATAATAAATAAATATCATGAAAAAAAATGTGAGTGAAAATGATTATAGATATAAACTCTTAATTTATAATTTTGTTTTATCTAAAAAAATAATAATAATATATTTTTATGAGATTTACAAAACTTTAAATAAATTAAAAATATATATATTTTAACTAAAAATATAAAAACAAAAATTTCAAAATAACAAGTAAACAACCACATAATCCAAAACAAGACATGGAAATATGAGAATAATAAGAAAAATAATAAAACTACCAGAATTAGAGTTCGAGGCTAGATTTTTTATATCTAAAAATCTAACGGTCCAAGTAAATATTTTAAGAAAAATAATTTTTGAAAATTCCTATAAAAAATTAAGTACAATCTTATAATCAGATAAAAAATTATGATTTATTTAGCTATTATTTTAGTTTGAGATGACTAAATCTTTTTTTGGATCCGGATTTATCCCATTAATTTATAAATATATTTATTAAACTATTCACACAATCCGTTTAAAATATATCCTTACTTAATCATGATTGATTTATAGTTAATTATTTATAATCATTTCTTATTACAAGTATTTAATTCATAATATTAATGTTTATATAAAGTATTTTTCCAAATCCTCGCATTTTTTGAAACAGCTGAAAGTTATCTCTGTGGTTCTTGGAGTGTACAGGCCATTTGTATGGTTGAGATTTTTTAATGATGGGTTGATTACTAGACATGATTATTAAATGGTATGTTGCTTATCCCGATTTATATTTTATTAAAGTTAAGCCAGTCACTAGCCTTGGGCAACTTCCACCTTGATAACAATGGATCCAAAAGGAACATTGGTCTCAGATATTGGAATAGGAGACTGTTTTATTTGGGAAGCCGAGCCAGCACATTCAAAAATTAATCTCGTTTTCATGTTATCATTGGCATTATATTATATTAATCTCGAATTTCCATATTATCATTTTCTTATTGTTGCTTCTTCGAGCACATTAGCATGTATTATTGAAAAGGTTTCTGGTTGCTGTGAGAGAAGTTGAAAGTCTCAAAATGGTAGATTACCAAAGATATCGCCGTCAGGTTTGAAAACAGCAATGACGAAAGACTTCAAAAGGGAAAAGGACAAAAATAAAATAAATAAACAAAAAGAAGGGGAGTCACTGCAAGTCATATTTTTTCCTTGAAAATCAGCCTTTTCCACTGTTTTTTCTTCTGTTTCTTCCACAGCATCTTCCCCGACTTTCCAATGCCTGGTAACTTGGTAATGTCTTGTGTTTCTTGTGGCTGATGCATGCATTCGATTCATGTTCCTCAGCCATTTGCTAGTATGAATACCTTATGTACTAGTGAAGACTTTGTTACTGATGGAAAAAAGATGCAGGGAATGGAGAAAATAATATAATTATATCCTAAAAATCTTGCATCATTAATCTAAGTATAATCACGTTAATCAATAAAGAATCATGGGTGACCCAAATTTATTGTGAATATTATTTTAACATTCGAACATAATTCTAATTATTATTATTTTTTATTTTATTAATTAATAATTTGTAAAAAAATGTTGAAACATCAATTGTTGAAATGTTATTGTGAAATTCCTTTTCAGTATGTGTTTTTGTTAATTTTTTGTTTATATTTTTTATTAATAAAAATTTGATTTGACATGTAAGTGAAATAATGTGATATTAGTAATTAAAAATTATTTTTTTAATTAAAATCAATATTTGAGATCTAAGA